ATCATAGATCAAATAAAGTTCAAAAAAATTCCTGTTTATAAAAACGACGACGCTTCAATAGAACCTTTTTATGTTTTAGGTGCTCCAAGAAGTTCTTACGGTATTAGCACATTGCAATACTTCATAACATTATCACGCAAGAGCATTTAAAAGACTGTTCACGTCTTAATCATTATCGATTTTATTAAATTCGATATTATAAAAACCAAATGATGCCAAAATATATAACAAAATATATAAATAACCAAAATATATTCTAAAATCAAATTGTAATGATAAAAAACATTGTTTTTGCATCAAATATGCATAATTAATGAAAACGTCCTAATTGTGATGCTTTATTGACAAATACCTAGAGACCTAAGTGATGCTTTATTGACAAATACCTAGAGACCTATCTCAATACTTTGCCGTTTTTGTGAGGGGTAAGGTAAAATTTGAATATACAATTACTTTGAAAAAAATAATACTTTATATCATAAACAACTTGGTTTTAGAAAAAAATGATATCACATAGCATAAAATAATTGATTATATTAACTATTTTTTTATAAATCTACAAAAACTTTCATTGCGTAGTTATTGTGACCAAAAAGGATTTGGTCACAATAACTACGCAATAAAAGTTTTTGTAGATTTATAAAAGTATTCGACGTTTTTGATCAACAAATCTCTTTTTATAAACTGCAACACAACAGAATATTGAATTTAAAATTAAAATGGTTTCTGCCTTATCTTCAGAATTATAAAAATATGTTAAATATGATTTTACTAGCTGGCAGTAAAAATAATTAGTTGCGGTGTCTTCAATGCCCAATACCATATGGCATAGGACGTACTAAGTCCGACGGACGTCAAATGACCATTCTAGGCATCAATTAGACTTCTTAAAACGTCCAATACGCACTAGGATGCATAGTCCTGTTATTTCTCGTATATGCAATTTCTCGTATAAATAATATAAATATCTATATATTCTCCAAATTCTAAAACTTTTATATTTTTACGGACGATACTCGTATTTTATAAAATATTACTTTTGGTAATATTTTATAAAATCCTTTTGGTAATATTTTAAAAATTCTTTTCTTTCCTGTAACCCGAAACTTATAAATAAATAAACCCAAGTTATATTTTGATTATTTTGTTGTCCAATCCAAAACATATTTTGTACATTTTGCATTTCAAAGAAGTTATAGTACCCTAAAAAAATTTAAAACTGATATTTATAAGTATTAATTTAAAATTTTTATTTTATTAAAAAAAGTTATAATTTTTCCTTATTTAAGGTACAAAATGCTTATTAAAATAATTTATATATATATATATATATATATATATATATATATCTATATATATATATATATATATCTATATATATATATATATATATATATATATATATATATATATATATATATATATATATATATATATATATATATATATACATATATATATATATATATATATATATATATATATATATATATATATATATATATATATATATATATATATATATATATATATATATATATATATATATATATATATATATATATATATATATATATATATATATATATATATATTTATATATATATATATATATATATATATATATTTAATATGTAAGTTGATTTTAATAAAAAGACAGCGTATATTTTTAAATATATTTTGATGTAAAAATATATCAACGATATTTTCGCTGACCTATTGTGGTCAGCGTCATCAGGTAATAATAAAAAACGTTACAAAATAACATAAAAACAAACCGTTTAAAAAGAAGACATTAAAAAGCGTCAAATATAAAAACCAATAAAATATAATAATGACGTCAGTTAAATTTTTGTCAAAATGGGTCCCCAAGTTCTTGTTTTAACCTTATCCCCGTCATCTCGATTTAGAACACCTTCCCCAATACCTATCTCACATAGAACTTTCGCTTGGTTTATCTCCAGAGATTCTTTAATTTTTCGTATCTTGTATTCTTGAACGACTGCCAAGGTCTTAGGATTTAGCCAATCAAAGTTACCACGGCATGTTTTGGAATGTTCCATGGCTCCTGAACTCGACCATTTTTGATTTTTGCAAGCTCTTTGGTGTTCTGCACTTCTTGAAATGATTTTCTTTTTGGTCTCACCAATATATATATATTTCCGCATGAGCATTTAAGTTGGTAAACCCCCGGATTTGAGTTCGGAGGTAGTTTAGTTTTGTTGTTGCATAATATATTACTTAAACTAGGAGCTGAAGTAAATATAACTCTGAAGTTTTGTTTTTTAAATTCTCTTCGGAGTTTTGGGCCAATAATAGGTATCCAAGGTAGTTTAACAAACTTTTGATCTAACTGTTTAGATGTAGTATTTTTTGAAATGCCGTCTAAATAGTTTTTGGTTATTTTAATAAGATTATTTTTATTATAGCCGTTTTCAAAAAATATATTTATGAGGAAATCAATTTCTTGTGAGAGATATTTTTGAGAGCAGATTTGTTTTGCTCGACATAAAAAACCTTTAAAGACGCCAATGGTTATGCTCGGGTTGATGTTGGAGTTTGGTTTTATTTGAACATTTGTTAACGCATCCTTACGGTGTATTTGAAACTCATAAAATTCATTCATTGTGTTTGTAATACAAATATCTAAAAATTAAGTTGTTTTCTTTTGTTTTCAAGTTCAACGGTATATTTTATGGAGGGGTTTTGTTCATTTAAAGCTTTAAGAAATAATTCTTGCTTTTCTTTTGAATCGAAGCGAGCATGGCTATCATCCACATATCTTTTATAAGTTATTGGTTGGAATGAATTAATAAAGGCTGTATCAAGTGCTCTTTTTTCTATATTTTGCAAAAATGCTTCAGCTATGACTACCATCAATGATAAACCAATTGGACCTTTTTATTTTATCTTCGTATAAAAAGTAACATATGCTTAACGATAGTTCAATAATTGGTGTATATCTATGAGAGTTAATTTAGTCCTAGTTTTTAAATCTTCAAGATCATCGTTCAATATGTTAATAATAACAGGAATTGCTTCATTGATCGGTACGGATGGATATAAATTAATTACATCGAAAGAAACCTGAATTTCATTAGGGTCTATTTTCCATTCTTTAGCATCGTTGACAAAGTTTCTTGAATTAATTAGTCGAGTTATGTTTTTGTTTAATGTTGGTTGGACAATTTTAACCAGATACTCAGATGTTCCTTAAGGAGATGTGTTAATAGTGGAAACAACAGGACGCATTGGGTAATTTTTTTCCGGTTTGTGTGCTTTAACCATTCCATAGATTCTAGGTGGAGCGCAATCTGATGGATACATTTTAAAATAAGTAGCATTGTCTAACTTACCTTGTTTTCTTAATTTACATAATAGTTTTTGAAATTTAGTAGTGAATGTGGGTGTTGGGTCGTAATCAATAATTTTACTATTTTTTATTTGTTCTTATAATTTCGCTTTTGCTTCATTTTCGCATAATAAAGCAAAACCTGTTCCTTTGTCAAACGGATATATCTTTAGATGTGAATATTTTTTCAGGTTTTGTAAAGAAAGGCGTTGTTGTTTTGTTAAATTATCTTTTATTTTTAACTTTAAAGAACTGGTTAGATTTTTGTCGAAGAATCTCTGCTTGTGTTTGTTTATTTTGTTGTTCGAGTTCCAAGGCGCAAGTTTCAATATTAGTGATTATGTCCATATAAGGGATGTTCTTTTGTATTGGGACAAATTTTGGACCAAGATTAAGTAGTTCAGTAGTTGCTTTATCAAGATTAATATTTGTTAAATTTAGTATAGCTGGTTTTAAAATTCGGTTAGGACGAGTTTTTTCAAAATTGATTTTATAACTGATGTCATTTTTCAATTTATAGAATTTTTCTTTCATTTTAGTTTTTTTTAAAGAATAATGGTAGTTCTTAGATTTGTTCGTTACATTATTAATTATCTCATAGTCATTAGATCTTATTTGAGATTGAAGATATAAATTTAATTCTTCAGTACTTCAGCTCCTAGTTTAAGTAATATATTATGCAACAACAAAACTAAACTACCTCAGAACTCAAATCCGGGGGTTTACCAACTTAAATGCTCATGCGGAAATATATATATTGGTGAGACCAAAAAGAAAATCATTTCAAGAAGTGCAGAACACCAAAGAGCTTGCAAAAATCAAAAATGGTCGAGTTCAGGAGCCACGGAACATTCTATAACATGCCGTGGTAACTTTGATTGGTTAAATCCTAAGACCTTGGCGTTGTTCAACAACACAGGTTACGAAAAATTAGAGAATCCCCGGAGATTAACAAAGCAAAAAATTGTTATGAGAAAGGTATTTGGGAAGGTGTTCTAAATTAAGATGACGGGATATAGTCAAAACACAAACATGGGGACTCCTTTTTACAAAAACTTAACTGACGGCATTATTATATAATTTAATTAGTATTTATATTTGACGAATATTATTGTCTTCTTTTTAAACGGTTTGTTTTATGTTATTTTGTAACGTTTTATTATTACCTGATGACGCTGACCACAATAGGTCAACCAAATATCTTTAATATAATTTTACATCAAAATATATTTAAAAATATACGCTGCCTTTTTATTAAAATCAACTTACATATTATATATATATATATATATATATATATATATATATATATATATATATATATATATATATATATATATATATATATATATAAATATATCGTATAACAAGAAATGACTTTTAATATATATATATATATATATATATATATATATATATATATATATATATATATATATATATATATATATATATATATATATATATATATATATATATAATTGTATTCTATTTATTTATGAATATAAAGAAACAGTTAAAAAATATGTTTGTAAGTGTAAACTTATTGCACCCCAAATTTTGCCACCTATTTATCCTTGAGTTTAGAAACAACTACGGAATGGCTGCATTTGTATTTATAAATATATTAGTTATAATTTCTCAGGTACAAACAATTACAAAATAAATGAGTAATATATTAACATAACAAAAATAAATAATAACCAATAAATTTTATACAAATCCTTATAAAATAAATATCATTGAATAACTCAAAAAAAACGAATAGTTGCAGGAACTTTTAATAACGGGGAGCACAAAAATGGTAAAATATTAAAAACAAAAACAAAAACAAAAAAATATCAAAAGTTAAAAGTTTACTTAAGCAAAAAACAATCTACAAAGTATTATTTAATTTTAATTTTTATTTTTAACAAAGTATTTAAACTAAAATTATCAAGATAATACGATTTCTGACGAAAATGTGCCACGTAGTAGTCCTTAGATCGAATGTCTTTTCTTTGCAAAAATAATACTACATCAGAAACTTTAAGCAACATTTCTTAATAATAAAAGCACATATTTTAAACTAATGATATAAATGACTACGGTTGATGTCTGAAAAAAAGAAAAACACCCAATTATTTTATCCTATGCTTTGATTAACTTCCTGCTCTAAATAAAAAAGAAGTATATTTAAAATTATATATTATAAGTATATTTAGGGGATATAAGTATATTTATATATATATATATATATATATATATATATATATATATATATATATATATATATATATATATATATATATATATATATATATATATATATATATATATATATGTATATATATAGATATATACATATATATATATATATATATATATATATATATATATATATATATATATATATATATATATATATATATATATATATATATATATATATATATATATATATATATATATATATATATATATATATATATATAATATATATATAATATATATATATGAAGTATATATATATTATTCCCATTTAGTTTAGTAAAAGTGTAGTAGGTACCTTGAAAAATTTTTCATAAAATTATATATATATATATATATATATATATATATATATATATATATATATATATATATATATATATATATATATATATATGTATATATATATATATATATATATATATATATATATATATATATATGTATATATATATATATATATATATATATATATATATATATATATATATATATATATATATATGTATATATATACATATATATATATATATATATATATATATATATATATATATATATATATATATATATATATATATATATATATATATATATATATATATATATATATATATATATATATATATATATATTTATATATATACCTTGTGCTTTTCCATCAAAAGAAAATATTTTAGGGGGAAGGATTCATACATTGAAAAGTTTTTTTTTATATTAATCGATGCTCCATTATTTTTATCAAACAACTTTAATAAGCGGATAATAAAACTCTAAAAAGACACAAACTAAAAATAATGGGTCGAGAAGCTTGTTATTTTTGTCAACATAAAAAAAAAATAATTGCTAAATTTATTTTCTACGTCTTACCATCTTCACAACGCATGATTTTTGTATATGGAGAATGCGTTATTATAATAAAGATAACAATGAGAAGAGAGAGAAATAGAGAAAGACGTAATTTTGGAACAAACGTCTTTGTGACATCCATAATAGGGTAAAGTAGTCTAATACCACCGGCGGGTTAAACCGCTTTCTCATTTTTTAATGTTGGTCTAAAGAGTGTTTTGTGGAGCAATTAAGGAAATATTGTCAAAACTTTTTAGATAAATCATTTTTTAGTTATAAAACTTTTTTTAAACAAAATAAATAACCATTCTACATAAAAAGATGATATCTTGCCAATATCGCCAGACTGAAATGGGCTAATAACGCCACATGTTTATTTTGATTTTCATTATTGAGGTATTGTGTATATGTGTTGTAATTGCACTCGAAACTTGTAATTTAATGTTTTTGCTCTCAAATTTACTTTAAAGTACTGTAATTTAATGTTAAAGTTTGTTGAAGAAATGTTAGAGTTGTTGAAAGAAATGTTAATAATGTTAAAAGAAATGTTGAAGTTGAAAAAAATGCAACGAAAAACGTAAATTTAAAAAATTTTTAAAAATATTATTTAAATTGCTGCACTAATTGCATTAGATAACGCAAAGATGATTGTTTAGGGAATTCCTTTTCCTCTTAAATGTGATTTTGTTGTTATAATTTCACAACCTTATTATCTTGTTGATTTAAACTTAAAGACTTTTATAAACACTTTCCTTTTCATTTGACAAATGCAATATTGATTTTTCAAGTAATTTAAAAAATTTGTAAAAACAATTGTCAACTATTATTTATTTTTTTATTTAGAATTTCTAAACCTAAAACAAGTACTTTTAGAGCAAAATGGAAAAACAGAGAATTTAAAACAGGCGCTATATTCTGAACTGGAAATCCAGTTGCAGCAGGAATGGGAGATTATTACATTCCTTAAGAAACTCTCAGAGACTGGTCATATATTATATATATATATATATATATATTATATATATATATATATATATATATATATATATATATATATATATATATATATATATACATATATATATATATATATATATATATATATATATATATAATATATATATATATATATATATATATATATATTATATATATATTATATATTATATGTATTACATATATTATATATATTACATATATATATATATATATATTTATAAATATGTGTATATATATATTTATATATATATATATATATATATATGTATATATATAATATATATATATATATATATATATATTTATATATATATATATATATATATATATATATATATATATATATATTTTCCGTTTCCACCCGATATATATATTATATATATATATACACACACCACACAGATATATATATATATATATATATATATATATATATATATATATATATATATATATATATATATATATATATATATATATATATATATATGTATATATATATATATATATATATATATATATATATATATATATATATATATATATATATATATATATATATATATATATATATATATATATATATATTTATATATATATATATATATATATATATATATATATATATT